GCCTTAATGGCGCGACTTGACAGTTCAGCGAGTGAAGTGGCGCAATTGTTAAACTCGCTCGCGCTCGCCGCTGGAGGTATTCCGTCGGCGGTGCGGCGAGGGGGTTGAGCGGAGGAGAAAGGATAATGACCCACCTCGACGGCAAGTGCGATTACCGATTAGGGATCCCCCCCGTCACTCCTATCGCGAGCGTCCTTCTCCCGAGCGCCGTGCCCCGATCGTCACCTCGGACGCGTTAAATGCCGCGGTAATTTCCGTCGAATGTCTGCAAAAACCCACCCGGCGGGGAATTGAATCCTTCTGCGTCGGTTTCGGCGGAGAAGCGTGCGCTCTTTGGGTCACGACACTCACTCGCGCGGTCTCGCGCACAAGTCCTTTTTACCGTTGATTGATCGATAATTGCTGGAACCTTGCGCGGACAGCTGTATCTCGTCGTATCTCGTGATTACTGATCAATCTGGAAAGCGGGAACGTATTTAGCGAAGAACTGACGTTTCGACAGCTGAGTGCGTTTCGCTCATGCGTCAGCGAGGAAAGATTATACGCTTATTGTGACGCTCAGTCAGCGGTTTCATAAGAGCGAGGAGGACGCCGAGCGAGGGAGAGAGATCAGTGAGAGAGGTAAATGTGTAAAATTGATGTGCATTATTAATTAATAGCTAATCATCATCCGTGCCACGTAAGTGGATAACCTAATATCACTGACGCACGTGAAACGTCGAGCTGTCGAGGTGTCACTTTTTTCTCTCTCGACACGCTCCTGCTTTCTAGATTGATCAACGGTTTCAAGGAGAAACATATGCGTGGAGAGAAGCGATCTGACTAAACTTTTAATAAAACTATCGATTTACCGACGGTAAGTAGAGATGTGCGAATCAAGAATTTTTATGTCGAATCGAATCTCATTTTTTAAATTTGAATTCGAATTGAATCGGATCTATGAAATTTCACTCGAATCCGAATCGCATCGAATGGAATCGAATCGGGTTATTAAAAAATGTAACATGACTAACTTAAACATGCAAATAATGATGGAAGATTTTAATATGAAAGGGAATATTGATGTTGTAATATCACCTTAAAAAAGTAAAATATTTAGAATAATTTATAATTAAGTTATTAATTATAAGTTAAGTTAATTACAAGTTAAGGATTCAAACGTGACAACTGGTCCAGATGGCCCGTTTTCTAGCTGATGCACGCAAACAATAACGTATTTGATTCCTATTCGAATTCGAATAGTTCGCACATCTCTAATGGTAAGGCATCCGTGAACTGAGCATATACATATACATATGTTTGTCGATTGTGCAAACGCACTTTATCAGGTGCAATCAATTATATTTATATGGAACATGTAAAATATACAGGGTGTCCGGGATCTTGTGGAAACGAAAAAGTAAAGATTAATCAGATCAAACGGAGAAGAAAAGTCAAGTACTATTTTGCAAAAATCGCAATGTATAATTATTAAGTTAATTATTTAATTGCTTAACCACTCAATTACTTAATTACTAGTTAATTGCTGATATAATTATTAAGTTTATAATTATTAAGTATTATAATGGTTGAAAATGACCACATTCAGATGCTCTTTTAACCGATAACTTGAAAACTTACTTAAAAGCGTACTTATTTGCAAAATGATAAAGGACTTTTTTGGTCAGAATGACCAACCTATAATTATACCCTAACCTATAATTATATGACGGCAACTGTGTTTAGATACGAGTAGTGTATTGAACTTTGAATCCTGAATCGTGAACTTGTCGCTAGGCATAATATCCTAGTCATATAATTGTAGGTTATGTCATTCTGAACAAAAAATCCTTTACCATTTTTGCAAATAAGTACGCAAATGTTCAAGTTATCAATTAAAAAGCCTCCAAATATAGTTATTTTCAATCATTAATAACTTAATAACTATTGTGTGTATTTTTGCAAAATGGCTTTTTTTCTCAGTTTCATCTGATTAATCTTCACAATTTTTCGTTTCCAAAATATCCCGGACACCCTGTATTCACTTAGAGTGTTCATATATTTATATGAAAAAGTATGTAAAAAAAATTATTATACATCTATATAATAAAATTCGTATAAAACGATATTTTTATATAAAAATTTATACAAAATATTTTTCAATGCGTAAAGCGGTGCTCACACCGCGGTGTTGGACGTTTTTGTGAGTGAGAAGCGATTCGGAAGTAGAATCGGGTGCCATACGTGTTGGAGGCTGAGGATAGCATAATTGCTGATTCGAAATCGACCAATCGAGTGATCTCGATTATATGGGTCCGCGTTGTGTTCTCGATCGGTTGAGTCATAACTTATAATACACGATCTCTTCGGTACGAATCCGAGCCTCCCATAAAGCCCGTGTCACACTACGGATTGAAGATCAAGGATTGCGGATTGAAGATTGAAATTTGACCAATCGGAATAAAGTAAATCAAAAACGAAGTTTGTTGATTCGTCGAAATCTAATCTTCAATCCGCAATCCTTGATCTTCAATCCATAATGTGACACGGGCTTAAGTGCCGTCGAAATCTGTACCGAGTGTCCGCGGATTGTCGTCTTACCTGTGCACCGAAGCAAAGGACGAGTCTTCGATCTGACAATAATCGGGAATAACGGAGGATCTATAAAAGTATCGCAGCCAGAAGCACGTTTCGACGAAGAGGCCAACGAAACGATGCCGAATATTTTAGCACGATATTGCGCGGTGAACGGTGCGTCAACTGTGCGGTATCAAGACGGACTATAAGAAAAACGGCGCCGAAGGAGTACGTATGCACGCACGCACACACACACATACACATGACTGCACTCGCTGATCGATAGTAGTCGCGCAATCTACGAATCGGGGAAAAACGTAGCGACTGGTTGAACACGACGTTAGGCCGCTCCACAACCGGACCATCTTTCCGTCCGCCGATATCGCGCACGGCAGAGTGCGCGAATAGCGAAGGGGTCCCAAGGGAGAAGGAGGGAGGGAGGGAGGGCCGCCAGGTGGCGGCCGGGAGAACCTGCCTCCGCAGGATGTCGACACGGCCGTCGAGGAGTTTCAAAATTCGAGATGCCGTTCTTCGCGAGGAGATAATCGCGAGGTCTCGCGATAGGAGTCGCGAGGAAAGTCGTGAATCGTCTCACGACTCAAGGCCGTTCGGATGTAATCCCACGAGTCCAAGTCAGAAAGAGAGAGTCGGGGGGAGGGGAGAGAGGAGCCGAGCCGAACATCAGCGGGGCCACGATTCCTATATGTATGCGTTCGTATGTCGTCCACGGGTATAACGATCGCCCGCTCGACTCCCTTCGCACCGGATACGGCGAGTCACATCGATTGGTGACTCGCGTTCGGCAAGTGACTGTCCGGATGTGGAATGTGTCGTGTCGTGTAAACGAGAGGTACAACGAGGCGCGACGACGGTGCTGGTGCGCCGCGCGCTCGGTGAGCGAATATACCGTGCGACAACCGTAAAAGGCGACGACCAGGCCTGACCGAATAGACACCCAATCGTCGCCGATGATGATCGGAGCGATCGAGCGATTCTCGTCGCTCACCGATGACGATTCGCCGACGCGACGTAAGGGCATCCGCGTTTCACGGGCTCCGCGTTCGGGTAAACACCTGCTGCGAGGGAGCGGCGACACGCACGCACGCACGCACGCACGCACGCACGCACGCATGCACGCACGCAGGCAGGCGGACTCACGCGGCGGACACGCGGCGTAAACAGAATCGTGTGTAACCTCTGCCACGTTCGCTCCGCAATGCCTGCGCGCCTTCTCGCTCTCGGCAATGTCTGCGCGCGAGAGGGAAATTTCAGGTTTCACGAAGGATAGAGATCCAGGTGTAGAGCGGCCCTACCTACCCGTCCCGCTCCCCTCGGGAGGGAGGGAGTCCTTTGTGCTCGGAAGCGACCGTGTTGACGTGGAAACGTCGGAATTCCAGCGATATGAGTGGTCAAGTGGAGGAAATACCTGCGAGGCTGAGCCGTGTGAGCGCCCGCGTCGCGAACGCGATCGACGATCCTGGCGAACGGACGTATCCGCGACACAAACGAGAGGACACTGGCGAGAATTCTCCCCGCGGGGCCGCCGTGTGTCCTGGAGCGAATGTTTACCTGGCCGTGGCTAGGGAAGGACCCCACCCTCGCCGAAGCGATCGCGGGCGGATAGGCGACGTGCAGAAATGCGACTCGACGGGGAGGACGCGAGAGAGAGAGAGAGAGAGAGGGAAAGAGGAGAAAGACAGAGAGAGAGAGAGAGAGAGAGAGAGAGAGAGAAAGAGAGAGAAAGAGAGGGTATCGCGAACGGGACCGTTGGAAAATGTCGGGGGAGGAAGGATCCGAGCGAAATTTCCGACCGTGTAACGAGAGGCTCGTCGCAGCGCAGTTTTACACAGACGGCGCGTGCCAGCGCGCCGATCTCGGAAGTGATATTTATTTACTCACGGTATATGCGCGTTCCTGGTCCGTCGGGCTCCAGGATGGCCGGGTGGACGACGTATCCTCGTTGGCCGGCGAGGCCGAATGTACCGTCGACGCGACGCACTGCACACACACACACACACGCACGCACGCACGCACGCACGCACGCCGCACGCACGCCGCACGCACGCACGCACGTACGCTTTCGCGCTCGAGATGTGCCCGGAGTCTTCGCACGCGACCACAACGGCACCCGTCAAACGCGACACGCGCCCGCCATGTTTGCCGTGACCGCGACGCCAGCGACGCCCGGCGGCGGCGGGTCGCGCGCAGCTACGAGCCCGCAGGCGCACGCGCCAACTTTGTAATTAACGGGTCGAGTGTCGCGAGACGGAGCGGAGAAATTTCGCGCCGTCTTTCCTCGCGCGTTCGCCGGTGAGTGACTGGACGAGAGACATCAGCGTTGTTTCCGCTGTCTGAATCATTCAGACAGGACTGGCACTCGCGAGCTTAAGCCCGTATCAGACTATGAATTGGGATTTAGATTGGATTGAAATTTGACCAATTGGAAAAGAGAAAATAATCTCAAATATAGTAAACTCAACCCTGATTGATTAAATTTCAATCCAATATTTAATCCGTAGTCTGACCACGGGCTTTAGAATGCATAAAAAACACGGTCGATAAATATGAGAGTGAACCTTGGCCCGATAAATGTATTGCGGCGTATCATGCGTCATGTACCTACATCTTGACACTTGCTTGGCAGAGTTTCCTACGATTGTCAAGTTCAAGTGCGTATGTATGTGTGTAAAGTTTCGAGTCGTTTAATCGCGTACGGTTGAAAAATATCGCTCCGCGAGGGTTGGACTCTACATTATTGCCCCGGGGCGCCGAGGACGCGTGTCACGTTCCTGCCCGCCTTCGATCGAGCGGATGTTTTCTGCAAGGCTAGTGCGCGTGAATTCGTCGGTGCAGCGTATTCTCGTATAAACTAGAGTTGCCGAAGCACGAAATGTCGAAGTACTCGCTTCTCTAGGTTCGGACATCGTCGCGATTTCGCGGTACGTAATTTCGTCTGATTGTGTGACTTCACCGGCACCAGTCAGACGCTGCGACAGTCAGGGTAATGTTGACGGAGGCGATTAATGCGATCTCCTTCCACTTCGCAGGGCACTACATGTGCTGTGACCACCAGCCACGTGGGTCGTATTCACCGAGGAGCGACGTGCACCGCTCGACGAACGCATGCCGTCGTGTGACATCGCGACATCATCGCTCTTCGTTCTCGACATCGCTCTCGACACGACGGGACACCGCCGCAGGAAACATCGCCGAAAACACCGCTTGGGACCCCTGTTGACGAGCCGACGATTCAAGACTCGAGAGGTTATTGCTTCAGAAACGGTACCATATGAATTTCATATGCCTGAGAATCGCGTATTATTTGCGAGAGCTGACAGAGAGGGATAATCACGGTGCTGTGCGTCGTGAGAGCCTTGTACCTTCTCGTCAAGGGGATCAGCAACATGTGCGTTCGGAACCACAGAGAATCAAATATCCTTCATAATTCTTGCACGAGAGGGAAGGCATTTAGCAACTGAGAGGAAGATACTCAGTTGAGGTGGAAGATTTCAGTTGAGTAGCTGAATACGTTGGGACTGAGAGGATTTTCACACAAGGGCGCAACGATAGCGACAACACAATGTCGACACTTTGAACTGATGATAGGTCTGCACTGGATGAGAAGAAGATTGAAGATTGAGATTGAATTGAAGAATATATGGAATTTCCAGGTGAAGCGACTACAAATAATAGATATTATATAAGAAGAAGTATGGCTGATACAGACACAGAATCGCAGACAATGAAGCATTCATTGCTCTCAGAACATGTAATTTCCAACGACTTTCAAAAGATATTCTCGGAGCACTGGCACAGCTTCCGTGACTTCAAGAGCACTGATATCGAAGTTATCTCGAAACCTTTCAGAATCTGCAGAATATCGAACTTTTTAAGAAACAAGGAGTTCCTGGAGAAAGTGAAGGACGAGCTTTTAAACATGGAATTTAAGCGCAAGGTAATCGATCTCTACCAGTTCGAGCAGTCAGCTGATCTGAACACCGTCGAGACCGAGTACGTGAGAAAGCTGCGTGACGGTTTCCGGGACGATGTGACTATGTGGATGGAGCTGAACACAGACATCACCCTAAACGGCAAGATCTCTATGTCGTGCTCCATCTATTTCGACACGGATCATTTGTTGTGCCACGACGATAACCTGGAGGATAGAAGAATAGCTTTCATACTGTACGTAATGGACGAATGGACAGTCGAGGACGGAGGTGCCCTGGACCTTTTCGACACGGACGAGAATGGTTTCCCGGGGAATGTGGTAAGGTCACTGTTACCGGAATACAACTCCTTCGTTTTCTTCGAAGTTGTAGATAACTCTTATCATCAAGTAGCCGAGATAATGTCTCACGAAAAGATGAGATGGTCAATTAACGGTTGGTTTCACGGTCCCAAAAGAAGTACCTACAGGCCACCCAGGCCTATACGGATTGAGAACTTCATCGAGCCGAACAAAATGACGATAGAGTTGGATTCTTGGATTTCGAAGAATTATCTGGCTTCCGATATCAGTAAGCAGATTCAGGAGGAAGTCGAGACTAATTCTTACATATTTCTTCAAGGCTTCCTGAGGCACGACATATACGAAGCGATCTCGGCCGATCTCACGTCGGAAGATATTCATTGGCGAACAGTAGGCCCCGCGGATGAACGGCGCTATGAGATAGCTGACGAGCAAACCTTGCCGCACCTTTTGAAAGAATTTTATAACATGTTCAAATCCATTTCCCTCTTTCATCAGCTGAAAATCTACACGGACATCGACCTCACGCCCGACAACGAGTCTATGAAGCCTAAGATGACGATAGAGCTGCAAAGGTGGTCGCAGGGCTGCTACACATTGATGATTGATAGAGCGAGCAAGCCTGCGAACTCGATGAACGGCAACGAGGACGAGTCGACGACGGTGTCGTCGTCCGACAACACGGATGAGAACAACGAGGAGTCGGTCGGCAATATCAAGCGTTCCGAAGTGCAACTTAGCAGCGGCACCGACGAGGAGAACGATATCAAGGAAGCAACTTGCGTGCAATCCATAAATCACAACAACACTAAGGACGAGTTTATAGACGTGAGCGATCCTCACGAAGACATCATGCGGAAGGACCTGAAGAGAAAATTGAGTCCTGTTTCGCAATCTTCTAGCGAATTAGAAACTGATTTGAAGATAGCCAGGCGTCCATTGGAAGAATCGGAAACGTCCTCCAGTGATTCTCCGGATACGGAGTTCAATATGTTGTGCAGCACGGATTCGGATTACAGCGCAGACAAGGAGGAGGAGGAGAGGGAGAGGGAGAGGGAGAAAGAAGAAGAAAAAGAAAAGAGGGAAAACGATGACGTTGAGGAGGAAGAGGAGGAAGAGGAGGAGGAGGGGGAGGAGGAGGAGGAGGAAGAAGAGGAAGAGGAAGGGGAGGAAGAAGAGGAAGAGGAGGAGGAAGAAGAGGAGGAAGATAAGGAGAAGTCCACTACCGAATTAGAGCCTGGGGAACTGGATTTGATAATACAGTTTCACACGAACAACGCGAAAGAACTCGACGACTCGATCGACTACGTGGATCCCCTCGACCCGAAAGGCGAGTTGGTTCATGTCCCTGCGAAGGACAATCACCTCTGCTTGGTTTACAAAACGTCGAGCATCTGCCGCGTTCACCACTACGTCAATCATTACTGCAAGGGTTATTTTTACAACTTGATATGCACGTATTACGAGTAGTCACGTGTCTGGTATATAGGCCACTCCTGATAGACTGCAAAACTTCAGGAACATACGTTTGTCGTTTAGTCGTGAAGATGAAAGAGGTCGCGAGAGTTTCGGAAATAGCTCTCGCTCGACAGTTTCTCCTTCGAGACGAATTCTAACGATCACTCACTTCGGCCGTTCCGACGTGAATCGTGAGTATTTTTCTGAAGTTTTTTTTTTCCATCGATAGTAGAAAATGTCAATGTAATACTCTAATTGTCGTCGAGTGTGTCGGTGTTATTTTATTAACAAAAAAGTTTAAGAGAAAAAAAAAGAATATGTACATGCTCTGTCGAATCGCGCATAAGTGTCAACCAACTTTCTCGTATCGAGACCGGTAATGTTTCTCTTCGCCAATGATTTGTACATATGTCATCTATTATTTATAAAATTAAAAAGAATTCCATCGGTATTTCAACGAGTCCACCTCATTTCCTCGCGAAAAATTTCCTTCAGTGAGAAACGCGCGCCTAATAAAAGGCCTTTACAAGTGCACAAATTCTAGTCCGTAACCGTAAAGTTGTGAGAAAACCGACCGATCACAGTCGATTATTCTCCTTGTGCCAGAGGATAATACTCGAGCGTGATTTCAGTCAATTTTCTTACGAACTTACGAAAAACTTACGCAAAAATTTTTGTACGTGTAAAGGCCCGAAATTTTTCGCGAGGAACGCCGTCGAGCTCGACGGTGAACCTCGCTAGAAAAACAAACAGAACAGAGACATCGCGTAAGAAGTCGTTCTCGCTCGAAGGACTTTTTTTTCAATTCGGACGTCGGCGCGATTCGCAAAGAGACGCGAGAACTTCGAAGTTTCGCTCGGGTTTCAAGATTAAGATCATAACGCAGGAACGTACACAATCATTTATTGGATGCGCTATATACATGGTGGTGTGCGGACAGAATCCTCCGTTTCGCTCTCAGCGGAGTCACACAGCAAACGCTTTCGGGATTCATGCAAGTCGTGAATAGCGGGCTGATGTGTCCAAAGATAGAAGAAGTCCGAAGGAAAAATTTCCCACGCGCATCTCTCTCGATTCTTCGCGCACACCATCGGTCGCGTTCAGCCGAGGAGAAAAAACTGCCGTTGCAACATTCGTGGATCCGATTGGTGCTCGATATGCTCTGAATCTCGACCTAACCCAAGTAGTCGTCGTCGTCGTCGTCGTCGTCGTCGTCGTCGTCGTCGTCGTCGTCGTCGTCGTCGTCGTCGTCGTCGTCGTCGTCGTCGTCGTCGTCGTCGTCGTCTACCGCCGGAAACTTTTCTCTCGACCTTCCTCGGCCGTGAGTGATGCGTGTAAAGGTCATGGCGGCGAGGGGAGGAGTGTGAGGGGGGTGGGGGGGAGGGGTGCACGTTCGATCGAAAACGTGCGGTCGCCTTCTCACACGAGCTCGACTATTCCCTGACGGTTCTCTAAGGCAGTCTTGCAACTCGTGCGGAATCTGGCAGCTGGTGCAGGGCAAAGGAGCATCGCCGGGAGGAAGAAATATAGAAAGAAAAGCGAGGCTTACGCTCTGCGCACGCGGTGATTGCACTCGGAATCGGGTTCCTGCACGTGAATCCTGGGTCGTGGCAGGCTCTGCTGTCTCGCGCCATCCCTCGCACTCTTCGTGGTGACCTAGCACGTGATAAGCCGCTTTAGCGCGAACATCAGCACCGGTCGCTCGTCGAACGCGAGCGGGGAAGGTAGCTTCGAGAGCGCGTCCGACTGAACGGGGAAGTCCGCGGCAGCGCGCGCGCGAGCGCGAGCGTCTTACTCCCGCGTCTTCTATTTCGAGCGATCGCGCCGGAAACTATTAATGGGCGCACCTACACAATACTCCGTTCCGTTCCGCGTGACTTGCTCGCGGATGTTCTTCGAGCAATCGCGCGTACGTCCGACCGCTGAGCTCGGGACTCCCCGGTTGCACGGAATATGACGGTCACATCGGTTTCCTTCGCGCTCGCTCATATCCCGACGACTCACACTCTCGCTGCTTACGTCTCATTGTTTGCGTTTCTGCGCTCTTAAGCTCGCCGGTTCGCAGCACCGAACGTAAACAGTCAGGCGTTAAGCAACTCGGTCGATCACGAGGAAGCAAAGCTCCCCCCCCCTGTCCGCCGATAGTCGAGCGTGATCGGTTAGGTCTCGCCAATAATAGATGATTTAAATTTGAAGAAACTGAGACCAATTGCAGTCGAATATTCTTCTTAACACTGGCTGCGTTCAGAAGAACAAAATGATCAGTGAGCGCTTAGTGATTCTCGCTCCTGATTGGTCTGATGAGCTTCTGGGTCTATGAAGAATCTAAAAGAATGCTCCAGTCACAGACAATAATCACTAAGCGCTCACTGGTCTCACTTTGTTCCGTTAAACGCGGCCATTGTCTGCGACTGATCAATTCCTCAAGACCTTAAAGTACCAATTTAAATTATAATTTCCAGCCTTAAGTAAATTGGGCAATATCCAACACGTTAAATAAGCACATTAAACCTTAAACATTAAGAAACTGACTGAATCACAATTGAAGTTAAGGAGAATATTTGACTGTAATTGGCAAATTTCTTGAAGCTTAAATCATCCATTGTAGACTGAGCCTTAATTTGCTTCCAGCCCGCCCGCGTTCCGCTCGAGTTTACATTTTTCCGTGCGGCTCAAGACTAACGGTCCGTAATGGCGTCCCGTCCCTCGGCGGTTAACGTTGGATTGAGTCGTCGCGAGGAGCGACATGGGCGGCCACTTCATTCCGCATCAACGAGCTCGTTACCCGTAATTAGACCGGCCGATTATTCGCGCGAGAACGAAAGACACGCGCGCGCGCGGGGATCGTCGCGGATGAGATCTCAGCTAGACTACCTGAGACGTGGAGGCGATCCCGGCCATTCGCTTCCGCAGCTCGTTCAGTTGCAGCTCCTGCTGGAAGCTGGCGTCACTCTCCTGCGACTCCTCCCGCCTGCCGGCCTCGATCGATTCCGTCGAATATTCGACTTGGACCCAGGGACAAATCGTCGGCGACGACTGCAGCGAGCCCTTGCTTCCGGGACGGGACAGGCGTGGAGAAAGTCGCCTCAGCAGCGACACGAGTTTCGATCTAAGGCGATAGTCACTCGTGTTCACATCTTGCTTGCTCGCGCCTCGACGAGACGAGAGGAGACGAGCGGATCCGAGCGCGTTATTTTGACGCGCAAAAGCGTGTAATTGGCCCAAGTTTCCTTCGCGCGTCGTCTTCAATCGCGTCATTTCGTTCCTTTAGACGCCACTTGACGCGTCTGAACGTATTAAATCGCATTAAGAGATAAGAGACAAGAAACACGTAAAGAAAGCCAATTACACGCCAATTACACACTTGTGCATGTCAAAATAACACGCTCGGATTTGCGGTGAGAGCGCGCCGTCAAACGGCGAGCAACATTTTAGCGCCGGTTTGTCGAGGAACCCTCGTCGGGGTTTTGGTCTGCCCCATCTTTTGAAAACGCCGCCATTCACGATTGGGCAATGGCCGGTCACCAAAGGTCAGCGCTTAACATTAGAGGCATCGATTACTACGCGGAGCTGTTTCCACCGGCATGAAAGCTTTTCGAAGATATACGTCGTGCAACAGCGAAAATCCCGAGTAGAAAAATTAATAGGGCTTTGCTAAGGGCCTGATTATTTTTCCCTAACATTAATCGGGATAGAAAGATAAGAGCCCTACAAGATGTGTAGCAAATGGTTTAACGGGTCCTTATTATGAGGGTCTTATAAGGCAATATTAATGAGGCCTTATAAGGAAATATTAATAAGGGTTTTATGAGGCAATAAGGCATTAAGAAGGCCTCATAAAGTAATATTAAGATATGGAATTAAAATCCATTCTAAGTCTGAGTGAGACATTCACTCTTGCAATTGCGAATTAAAATATTTTTATTATTGCTTGAGTAAAAATATTCGTTTTCTTTATTCCAAGAAATTTAGACTGTAATTTCTTTATTTCTTTATAACCTTGTTAGTATGCGACAAGAATCTTTTATTTTAAAAGTATAGCATATTTTACAATAAAATATAGCATTTTTTTATATATAAAAATTCTGCTGTTTTTTTTTTAATTTGCTACATTTCAAAACAAAGGCAACGATAAAACTAATGGCAACTAATAAAATTAATAAAATTTGTTTTTAATTGCGGTATAATTAAATAATCTTTAAAAGAACCAGATACAGCATACCTATTAAATCAATACTAAACTATAACAATTTTATTACACGCTTCAGATCTTATTAATTTTCTATAGTAAAATTTGATTTTGTATATCTAAAGCATCCTTAAAAGATCCTTCTTAGGTCCACATCAGTTTTCCATATTAAAGCATTATTTCTAAGGCATCCATAAAAAATCCTTCTAAAGCCTTTCTCAACTTTCCCCATCAAAGCTTCATTTATTGGATCTAAGACACCGCTAATAAATCCTTCTAAGGCCCTCATCAGTTTACCTTATCCTAAGGCCTTACTTCTATAAAATAAAATCTAAGATATCTCTAAAAAATCCATCTCAAGGCCTGATGTGGCAATAATTTAAAGGCATCCCTTTTTAGGGCATCTTCCTTTCAGCCTTATTGCTTCATGGAGCTTTTTGCTTCACGAGGATGGCCCTGACAATATATTATGCTCGGGATGTTTACTCGTTTCTTCCGGTTTTATTCGACGACCGAATGCATCGTTATACAAGTCGCAGTCAGTCTTCGGCTCTTGGTAACTTTAGTATCAATGCTTACAGCCTGCCGTTAAAGTCCGAATTGCTTTGAATTCTCCATAAATTCGGAAGAATACTCCGATCATTATGACTCTTGTGCTGAATCGTCAATGAGACCCAACGAGAGGTCTCATCGAGAGGTCTCACGTCGTGTAATTAACACTTGTTAATAGACAACGTCTGTGTTGAAAGAGCCGCGTTAATTCGCGTGTCTTCGTCACGCCGTTGTTCATCGGTCGTTTCTATCGCATCTCGAATTCTGACGAGGGACAGACGACTGTTGAGGTCGCATATATTCCAGAATGAAACGAAACTATGCCGAACGAAAGCAGCCTCTAGCGCGCTCGCCGGGCACCGTTAATTGTTTCATTAACGCGTAATCAATTTATATATACCCTCCTCTCTCGCGCGTGTCACGCGAGCTTCAAGTTTCCACCGAGTCTTACATTTCTATCGCATTACGCGGCCCGCCAAACGGAGATCGTGCCTCGCTGCCCGCGCCTTTCCTTTCTCGTTTGTCTCTTTTCTTCTTTTTTTCTAGCGCGTTAACGAGTATTTTCAGCGCAGCTCGACCGTCACACGTTCGTGTCTCTCCTCCGCGTTGCAATTTGATCTCGCGATTTATTCTACAGCTACATTCGGCCACTCCCCCCCCTCCCCTCTTCTACTCCCCTCTCGCCCTCGCTGGGTTTCCTTTCGAATGGCCGCGGTTACCGTTATACTTTTCCGCTCGTCTGCCGCGCGAAACGGCCGCGAACGAATGCGCTTATCATAAATTACCTCGCGTGCGAACACGCCGATGAAAGGAGCGGGCTTGCGTGCGAACGAACGAACGAACGAACGAACGAACGAACGAACGAACGAACGAACGAACGAACGAACGAACGAACGAACGAACGAACGAACGAACGAACGAACGAACGAACGAACGAACGAACGAACGAACGAACGAACGAACGAACGAACGAACGAACGAACGAACGAACGAACGAACGAACGAACGAACGAACGAACGAACGAACGAACGAACGAACGAACGAACGAACGAACGAACGAACGAACGAACGAACGAACGAACGAACGAACAAACGGACGGACGAACGGATGGACGGACGGACGAATGCAGCGTTGCTGCATCAGCATACCTCGTGCTCGGCGTCTGAAGATGATCGGAAGTGAGAGGCGCGCTTCGGGAAAGCTGCTCGGCGCTCCGCGTCGCGTCCCGCCAGTGGAGCCTGTTGGAACCGAAAGTGACGGACCGTCCTACCCTCCAGTCCAGGCTGCTGCTCTGTCTGGCTTGCAAACCTACGGAGGAACCCGAGGTGATTTATCATGACCACCCGCCAAATATTTCAACAGCCACGCAATGTAGTGAAAAGTATCCCAGACAAGGGTGAAGCTTGGCCACGTGGCGCCGCGATAATGCCTGACGGACCTTCGGCGGAGGTGTCAAGGTCAAATTGAATTTTCAAGTTGGGCGGTTGACCTTTTTGAACGCTCGTGTCTGTAGCTTTTTCTCCTGACGGGTACGACGATCTATGTACGGTATTCGCTCATAGACGAGTCTTAGATACCATCACGGTTGCCACCTCTGTGCCAGGCTTTGCCCGGAGGTCTAAAAAGAGCGAACGGGGGGGGAGGGAACAGGAATAAATGAAAATACGTATCAAATATTACATCTTCGAATACATTAACATATTAAGTTCAAATTAAACATCGCGCGATACTGATAATCATTTATAAAATTAAACATTATTTATATTTTTACGAACATACGCATATTGCACTAATATCACATCGTTATAAAAAAAATATGAAAAAATACGCACTACCCGATACTTTAATATATTAACATAATATTATGTTTAAATTAAACATATAATTTTATATGTTAGTAAAAGTAAATACATAACTATTATTTGATTAAAATTTGATAAAAATTTATAATAATTTTTTTAAGTATGTTAAAACTTAAAGCTATTGCTTTCTCTCTCTCTCTCTCTCTCTCTCTCTCTCTCTCTGTCTGATTATAAAAAATAGAGAAAATATAACCTCTCTTCTTCTCATATTATATGGCCCGGAGATTTTTTCTCCTGAGCCGGAGAGCCGGAGATTTTGTGTTTCGCCGAAGACTCCGGGCAAAAACCGAAGAGGTGGCAACCATGCATACAGCACATTGCACAGATCATTGCAACTACGATCGTTGCAGCAATATTACAACGTTGCAAATTGCGATGCAACATTATAAACATATATTATTTTGCAGAGATACAAGTTCGCAAGATATCGGCACTTGTAGCAATTTAACATTTCAGAAACATTGAAAAACTTTATAATTTCATACAATGATATATTTTAATATTAAATATTTATTTATTTAATATTTAAAGTATATATAATAGAATAAAATAAAATGAAATATTTGTTTGCTATATTTGTGCACTCAAAAGAGACGTTTATAATGATAATAAATCAAGTTAATTAATTAACTGTTAATTAATTAACTGCTAATTAATTAACTGTTGTGCTAAGTATGTACTTAGAGCCTCCACTCTCCCTTGTCATGGAACTTTTGATTGATGACGTCAGAAGCGAGGGAACCTCGTGCTAAAAATGTCTGCGGATTATTTCAAAATTTAAAAAATACCTCCGGAAAATGATGTATCCGGAAAGTAATGATCACACGCAACTTTTCCTTTTTAACTTTTTTATTCACATGATTTGTTCACGTTAATATTACTTGTTGATGCAAGAGGAAAGCTTCCATTTTACAAGCGTGCTCAATCGATCATTTTATGGATATTTATCTTTTTATCTTGACTTAATCCACATGAAATTTTTGCGTTGATTTTCTCGCTTCTAACGTCATAATTCAAGATAGCTGCGGCGAAGAAACAAGATCGTTTGAAGTTTATTTTCGTATGATTTGTAGCTAATGAAGCTGTTCGTGCAGCATCCGAAGATGAGCTTGAAAGATTGATCTTAAGTATGCAAATATTTTACACGTGTATATATTTGCATAAAATCTGACTATATGAATACTTTGGGATTCAAGGTCTTTGAGGACCGAGTGACAAACTTGGGAGCCTGAGGAAATGAGATATCTCGGCATAAAATGCGAGGTATCTCATGAGGTTTCGTGCTCTCGTATGTTTTTTTTGCGTAAACGCAAATAGAATAGATACCTTGCTCGTTGGCGTTTTGGCCGACCCTCCAATCCAGGGAATTACTATTTCTATTCACGCTATAAATGTTATCACAGGATTTGGTGGCAAGGCATGTCGCCTGATGACGACGTCTCAGCAGTCTTGATACTGGTCCCAAGTTTCTGCAAAAACGCGTAGTTTCTCAGAACGGCGAGCATTATTCGCACGCGTGCCATCGGCAAACAGTAAGGAATCTCGGAAAACAAACGTTTTCCCGCCTTATCGCTGAAACACGATGTAAAGCGAGATAAAAGGAACACATCGACGTTATCGATCGGCCGTTCAGCGGAATTGTTATCTCGTCGAAACCGCGATTCCCTTATCGCGATTGGGAAAATATATCTGCCGGACCGTATGTGCCTGTTTAAGACCGTATCACACTAGCGACTCGCAACTGCGGCTGCGATTGCAATTGCGATTCTTCCTCAACCAATCAGAAAGCCGTTCAAACGACAGTCGTGAGTCGCAGCCGCGAGTCGCTGCTTTCTGATTGGTTGAAGAAGAATCGCAATCGCAGCCGCAGCCGCAGTCGCGAGTCGCCAGTGTGATACGGTCTTTAGACGCGTTGCGAGCATATCGATACCAAAGTCATATTTCGACCGATCGAGTAACATCGGTCCCAGTTCGTGCTCTGCCGATCGATTGAACTGCGAATCCGTAGTTTCTGCGATTTCGCGGTTTCTGCGGTTTCGCGATTGATTCAATGATCAGGTTCGGCCTGCAATAAAAGTGTAGTAAGCCTTCAGCCTAAATTCTCTAATTTTTGATAAACAATACTTTTTAACCCTGCCTTAATAGCCTGAGACCTCTTATGAGCTCTCTTAAAGGTCGCTAAAGACTTAACCTCTTTTACCGCAAATTATTTGCAAACGATAATATTCAGGCAGGCAATTTATTTTTTCTTAATTTCATAGAGCAGTGGTTAGCGTAGAAACTTATATTTTTGTTGCTAATATTTACATATATATCATATTAGAAACAAATAAGTTGTGAAATCTTTCTATTGAGAAGTGTCATAGAGAAAGAGCTCTTCAAGTGTAACACTTGACGAAAAGATTACAGTTTAAGTATTTCAACGGGAAAAAGAATATATTTGAACATAAAGCAAATATATATGGCAACAATATAACGCAATGTTATTATATTCCGGTATATGTGGGTGTACTAATAATCTCGAAGTGTGTATGATACTTCTCAAAACACTCCGGTAGGTATAATAATGCTATTTGAGTTCGTTTGCATTTCCAGACTGTTTCACTTCTAATGTTTTCTTTTTTTTATTATTAAACATAAAGTACAGATGGCGTTGGGAATTAGCCCATATTGCCCGCGCAAACTTACTATCTAGCATATGCTGACCTAAAGAGTCAAAAAAAAAATTATTGCATTGTTGTTTAAAAGATTGCCTAAGGGATAAATCTTAAAAAAAAAATAAAAAAAACCAAGTACCTTAGGCCTTACATATAAATACACGACTTAAAAGATTCTTTCTTAATATGCAGAGAATATCATTGAAACCATATAACAAATTACTATAACTTTGCAGTAAATGATTATCGCATCGGCGGAAACACGTCCTTCCTGCCATAATATTCTAATGTTATGTTCAGTACACACATAATGACATCTTTTTGTAGGATGTTGTTTGTTCACGATTGGTCTATTCTTTGGCATAGTAAGCTCATGACTCAGTCGGACTCGTCATTTCAGCGCAAGTACTTCGGCTTCAGGCTAGGGATGCCGATTTTTTTTTTCAAACAGATTGATTTAAAGATCGATTCGAATCACGAAGAAAAAAATCGATCTTTAAAAAATCGGTTTTGTAAAGAATCAATTTCAGAAAATCGATTTGAATCGGTATGCATGTAAAGTGAATCACTCGTTAAAGTATACCATCTGTCAAATTTCTACACTCTAAAGCAGACCTCGTGTAATTCGTGTATAAAGTTTAATATGAATTAAAGAAATTAAACAGATGGTACTCTTCTGGTTGTGTTGTGTATGGCCACAACAAGATAAAAAAAGATCTTTTACATCTTTATGCTAAGGATTTAATTAGTTTGATTAAACATCAATCAGGGCTTTTTAAACGTTATTAAATAAGATCTCACGTTTACTATTATATGCATATACATATGTATATAATATATACTGTTATATGGAGTGGCTGTGATTGGTTCGCGCGTTCCGTTCCGCTGAAAATTTTCGCCCATGGAAACATCGGCCTAAAGGCAACGTAATGTGCATCGTGCAGCCATCAAGTGAGTTCAAATATTACATTACTAAAAAGAATTAAGAAAAAAGACTATATTACTCTAGTAGAAAGTGAAAAAATCGTGTTGGCGATTTTCAGAATTTACAGGTCGATCCTTGAATCGATTCAGTTCCAGAAAATCGATTTGAAATCGATCCTTTAGCCTCCGGATTAATCGATCTTCGATTAAATCGATTTGAAAATCGGCATCCCTACTTCACAGGCAGCAGCGCGGGGGGCGTTTTTTAAGCCAAGAACGAAGTCACGGTTTTGAGTTTATCGTGTGGCAGAGTTAAAGGCCGAAGGCTAAAGACCACACCTCTCCGGCGAATCGGGACTCGAGCGCGTGTACTTACTTCTTGAAGCGTCGCGTTTGCTGTTCGATCGGCGGCTTGCTCTCGGCCAGCTTGGCTTCCGGTTCCGGGCAGTAGGTCCCCACGCGCACGTGGCTGTAGGTCGCGCGCAGCTGCACCCCGTCCAACGGCCGGAAGTTGCTCCGCTCGATGGACGAGACGCGCACGATCTCGATCTTCGGCCGCGCCTCCCCGCCTCCCCGCCTCTCCATGACGAAGCGCGCGCGATTCAAGCGGCGATGGCGGACGGACGCGTACCCGAATCAATCGTCCTCGTTTCCGTCCGACGGCTCACCCTCCGTATACCTCTTCCAGCATTCATCACGACGGAACCGCCGCCGCCTCACGCCTCACGGGACTCGTCCGATCTCGTCATCTCCTCGCACTTTTTATTCCCCGCCACTCCGGCGTTTGCACTTTTTCTTTCGTCCGCCTACTCGTCTTCCTTGTCTTCCTCGGTGCCGCTCGTGAGGAGGACCGCGAGAGACGAAAAGTCCGCGCGCACGCTCACCGTGACGGAGCCAGAGAGAAAAATACGTTACAAAGTAGCCGCTCGTGTAAAATTGCAAATTCGAAAGCTACGGCGGTGGTCGCGCGCATGCGCGCGCGCGCACGCGCGCGCTACGGCCCTGTGTGGAAAAGAAGCGCGCGAGTGATCTCGACGAATAAACCGTTACATGTCCGCGCAACGTCGCGCAACTGTCACGAACGTCGCGATACGTTCCCCCGTGAGCCCCGCGATGATCGATACGCACTCGTGAACCTCGCACTTCCCCGCATGCACACGCACACGACGCCCACGCGCATCCCGTATACGGGCGGACGATCTCGCGGATCTCGATCGATTTCGGGGGATCACAAAGTCGCTTGGCAGTTGGCGTTGCAGGCTTCTTCGGCCGCAGGAAGAGGAAGGTCGTCCTCGCGGACCGGGGGACTTCTCCCCTTGGTGTTCGGTATCGCAAGAAAGGCCGCGGCCCTTGGCGGCCGGGAGCGCTGCTCGTCGCGGATGCGCTTTTAAAGCGGCGTCCACACCGCGGCGGCAACGGGACGTTTCAGTTCGCTCGATTTACGAGCGCGCTCGCGCGACGTACGCACGCTCCTCCCCCCCCGCTCCTCTTCTTTCGTTTCGCTCCGCTTCTTCTCTCTCTCCCTCTGTCGCCCTCTCTCCCAGCGTCGCGACTCGGGAGGAAGGGAAAAATGCGCGCGGGTCACGTTCATTCATCCCACGTAGGACTGCACGACGTAATTATCTGTCGGAGCGAACGAGCTTGCGATCCGCCTACGCGCTCCTAATTGAATTGTCCGCCTGTGCGCGTGCGCACGCCCGCTGTCCGGTGAGAAATCGAGGCTGTGCTTAGACCGTGTCGCGAGATCTCCGCGGTGCTTCCCCGTTGCTTCTGAAATTTGCCATTCGAATTAGTGTTCTCGCGTGTCACGCCACTTCACCGTCGTACTTCACGCGCCCCTTCTTCTCGCTCCCACTCTCTCTCTCTCTCTCTCTCTCTCGTCCTCGCTCTCCCTCTCTGTCTGTCTTTCTTCGTCGCTGTCGCCGCCGGCGCCGCTTCGATTTTTTCGATGAGAACAAAAGGGAAGACAAAAGGGAAAACAAGCATTCGCCGAGGAGGCACTGCGCACCTGACGCTCTCGGCAGCGCAGTATTTTTCCGCGTATTCGGAAACGGCGAGACTTGCAGCCTCGAAAAGTCGAGGAGGTGATCACGTGACACCGCGCGCGCGCGTGTGTGCACGCGCGGCACGTCGCGCATCGGCTCGATTTAATTCAATGAAAAATTCTCGCGCGCACGTCACAGCGCAATTAGCGAGACGAGATGATGTGTTATGCACACTGCGTGCGTGCCGACGCACGCCACGTGAACATTCTGACACGCCCGCGTACGGCAACATTGATCCTCCTCACTGCGGGACAGGCCTACACACTCTCCGCTCTTGTGGAGGAAAGGAAAGAAAATGGGAAGAAGAAGAGGAAGAAGAAGAAGAAGAAACGTCGCGCACTGCGCACTCGCGCCGTAACTGACGACCTGCGCGGATTCTTCACTTTTGCGCGGCGCGAAAACTCGCGGGTCTAATATCGCATACGTGCAAATGTGCGTTTAATCATCAGGTTTGCGAACGCGCGCGCGCGCGCGCATGCGCATACATTATGTTGCTCGATTGAGCGATCAAGATGCTATCAGAGACGCATCGCTACCGTTCGCAACATTCGCCGCATGTTTGCGTCCGCGACGCTTCTTCGCGTCATTCCTCGCGAATCTCTCTCTCTCTCTCTCTCTCCCCCTCTCTCTTGATCGGTTCTCTTTCCTCTCTTCATTTACCTACTCCTTCTCTTCTCTATCTAGCGCAGTGCTTCCCGCTCGTAACGCAACGTAACGACGTCCGTCCGACCCGAATCGCGCCGCACCGCGACGAGCAACGCGAGTCAATCGGCGACGATCGAATTAATTTCGACGATGACGGTGTCCCCTCGTTCGCACGCACGCACGCACGCACGCACGCACGTGAGATCCCACGCGAGAGGTCCGGCGCGATCGAGCGCAACTTGGGCGATTTTGTGCGCGTCCATAGCGCTCTTCTCGGTTGCGCCGCGTGTTTTACGTCCATTGGATTCCGAGATCGATTAATTTAGTTAATTTAATTGCGTAATTTAATTAATTTTATTACGAAAGGGTGGGATTCAAACGCGTCCCTCCGGTACGTCCAATGCCACGGGACACGACGCAGCTTTGTCTCCGCTCGTCGCCGAGCGTTTTCGCGGTCGGGCAATTTTTGAACGCCTATGCGACAGATCTATCCATAGACTTTTTTTTATATACAAGCTAGACCGAGAACTTTCATTGGTTTTCATATATAAAAGTGTAAAACATAATATCTTATGTAAAACATAAAATCGTGCGCACGTGCGCATTGCAAAATCCCGTTAGTACTCTATATATATTGAATGAACATTGAATGTGTCATTGAATGTGTCGTTGCAAGAGGAAATATTAAATATCGGATAAATATTAACATTTCCTGGAGTAAAAATGTCTCTAAGATAAATGTCCTGGTTTAACCGTTTAAGCGTAGGTCGTCATAAAAATACAATATATAATATCAAGAATAATTTTAAATATTATAATAGTCTTAAATATTTACATTTATTCGGAAACTTAACATTCTCTTAAATAGAGAAAAATGATTTAAATTAATGTATGCATCTATTATTAATGAAATATTCACGAGTAACGAAGCGTATTAATGTACCAGTGAATAGTTGAAATAGGTTATGGCCCAATGTTCGGATAAAATTTGTCCCAGTATCTGACCGCAATTAGAAAATTAGTATGCGCTAATGAGAAATAATATAAATGTAGATGCTATCTCTTAACGAATTTATTAATTTATTAACGATTGATCATTTTACCAAACCATAGGTTTGGTATTTTTACTTAATTCATGTTTATTTTAATACAAAGGTATCAAATTGAATATATTTTCTTCAACTAATCGTCAAATATTGAAATGTTTTTTACAATAATTATTACTTTCATTCATTATTGTTAAAATAAATAGTAAATATCTTTTTCAAAATGGTCGGATACTGGGACGTTTACTTCACGGTGTGCGGTAAAATCCTTTCGGGACCTTGCGACGCGCATGCGCGAAATTTTAGTACATACTTTTAGGGGACGTATTAAAGAGAGTTAGTTATCGGTCTAGTGTATAATATAGAAGTCTGTGGATCTATCGGTTCGTGTTGTCAGCCGTCGCGTCGCTGTAGCGTTCTGGAACAATCCACTCGCTACTACACGGCCGGGAGTCGCGCATAAATTAATCCCCTCCCTTTCCGCGTTTACATTAATCGAATGTTCCCGCAGCGCGGCGTAGTCGAGACAATTATTCGAAAATGTTGTCTCACCTGACCTTTCGGGGCACCCGCGGCCGCCGTCACCGCTGTAATCTCCACCTGTGCCAATTTCTCGCTCCCGTCCTTCTTCCCGTGTGTTCTGTAGAAATTCCATGATGTACATATTCGGAAAGGTCAGAGGTGTGCTCTAAAATCGCGTGTTAAGGGGCTAAATTTATCCGCGAGGACGACACACGTAGGAAAGAGCGAGAACGAGAACGAAGGAAAGAGAGAGCGAAAGAGAGCGAGAGAGAGCGAGAGAGAGCGAGAGAGAGCGAGAGAGAGAGAGAGAGCGAGAGAGAGAGAGAGAGAGAGAGAGAGAGAGAGAGAGAGAGAGAGAGAGAGAGAGAGAGAGAGAGAGAGAGAGAGAGAGAGAGAGAGAGACGGTCAGGAGGGAGATGGAAGTTCCAAAGAAAAGCTGTCCAGCTTGACGTCAACGAGTCACCGCGGTGGAATTCCTCCGTGATCGAAAAGAAAACGCCGGCCCGGAGACAAATCGGGATCGGCTGAAAATGATTCGCGCCTGCCGCGGCGACGCATGCGCAATCGCGATCGCCGGCGGAATCGCAGCGCGGTGCGGAATGCGCTTCCGCATTTTTTGTCGGCGCGCGAATGTAAATTGCGCCGCCGTAAAGTCGATACCGCCGCGGCGAGCATTCCTCGGACGCGTCCACGGGCGGACAAATAAGATCGCGGAATTCCGAGCGCGAATACGTTGCACGAATCGCGCCGAAAGTGTTCCCGTCCACTCCGCCGCGCGAGTATCGAGTGCCCCGATCGATCGATAATCGAACTCGCGCGTCCTCGCGCTTGATTGCTGATTAACCGGCGACTGCAATTCTCGAGTTTCCGGCCACTCGGAATTCCCTCGACCGTTCTCGATTAACGATTAACGAACTTGTACCGCGACGTCGAAGTCGAACGGTACTCCTCTCAACCGCGTCATCGCCGAGGACACAACGAATGGTGGAACGGTGCGAGGGAGGGAGAGACAGAGGTAGAGAAAGAGCGAGAGAGAGAGACGAGCTTTTCCTCGCGAGGGCCTTTTAACGACGACGTTCAATCGTCGCGGGATCGCTTTTGCACGCTACGAGGTTGAATCGAACGCTTGTAATCCGCTGCGGACGGCGCGCGCGAAGAATGTCTGAAAAGTCATCCGCGGAGGGAAGTTAGCGTGTATCGCGCGATTGTACGCGGCGTCGAGCCGACATGACGGGCTTTATTAATTCTGTCTTGACGCTTTCAAATTTGTTTCTATCGCAAGTGTCGGAGCGCTTTCTCTCGAGCGTCAGCTCTACCGCGCGACAGCTATTTCCTGAGAACATTTCTCTTTTCTATCATAGCAACAGTTTCTCTCTTGTATAATTATAAATAATTAAAGTTTATAAATGTTATATTATCATTGTGTAAACTTTTATAAATCATTTTTCAGAATTGTTGTTTTTATTCAATCGGGCGAACGCGTACTCGGCGCGTACTCGACGCTGCGAGTCCAGTACCTGCACCGGTTGACCCCTCGCAAGGTCTCGAATATTACCGGTCCGCTTCGTCCTTCAAACCTCGAATGCCGCGCTGATTTCCATCGACCGCTGGAAAGCTTCGCTCAGAGGTTCTTAACCCTCCCTCATCGGCACTTCTCTCTGTTTCAACGGGAGATACCACCGATGCGATAAAGCAACGCGACTACTACTGACACATCCACATGTACACACACACACATACACACACACACACACACACGCACGCACATATACTCCTATGAGCAGCGTATCTAATTTTTGATAACCATTCAATCAAACCCTCCACGTAAACGGGCAAGATGCGCCAAGTCACGGTCACCGCGAGCACCGCAGCCTGTTAACTGTTCGACGCGCCTGTTAACGTGTTTTGGCGATGTTGGCCAAAAATGGGCCCGATGAAGAGCGTGAGGAGCCACGGGAGAGCCGGTCGAAACCCGCGAGGGACCGTAATATTTTTCCGCCGCTGTTGGAGCAATTATGACGGGTTCAGTTCCGCGAAGTCCCGTCGCAGACTGTGCGGCTTTCAGAACGGTCCGCGGGGCAGTACAGCGTGAAGAAACGAGTTTGTTGTTGCTGGCCGTTGCGCTCGCCGTTTGACACCGCGCGCCGCGCCGGCTCGGAGTACAGTTTCGTCGGCGACGGTTCCGAGGGACGCGCTAAATTAATGAGCCGCTCGCGCCCGCCGCGAACTGCGAAGAAAACTGCCACCGCCGCGACGCGACGCGACGCGGCGCTCCGAAAACTGATCGAAACGACGCGCCTTTCGAGCAGCGCAAACGGCCGGCCAATCAGCGCGGCGAGAATGATCGCGGACACGAGGACACCCCCCGAGGTGATTTGAAATCCGCGAACGCGATTGGTCGGCTCGCTCGTCACATTTCCCTTGTGTAGGGATGCGATGATTTCTCGAAATATCGATAACGATATAATCATCTGTCATTTAGAACCATCAGTAACGATAATATCGATAATTTTGAGAAATATCGACATTTATATCGGTATCTGTATAAAGAAGAATGTATACATACAGGCGTATGCACATATCAAGAGTATACACGAAAAATTTAGAAAAATCTATTAAAAATTTTTATCTTCACATAATTTATTGTCATATTCTTATTTGAAAATATATAATAAACCGCAGTCGCGTTTGCCGGAGATCACCGCATACATGGAGCAGATCTATTACGGTTCAATGATCGAGGTGAAAATGATAAAAGTGAGTGAATTTACTATATAGACATCGACCTCGAATTACATAATATATATTCTAGTGAATTCACTTTTGTAATTTTCATCTCGGTCGTAGAACTGTAATAGGCCCCAAGAGCTCTGTAATTGAAAAATACCGAAGTATTGAAAATTTATATCGATATGTCGATTTTATCGGAGATAAAAAAATATCGGTAAATATATAGAAAAGGGTACACCTCACCGATCTTTTTCATTTTGAAATATGTTATAAAAGATGAGTAACTTTTCCTAATACAATTATATGCGGGTCGCTTATAGTTTCTGAGTTTCTGAGATATTTGACTTTAAAGTTTTATAATTGTACGTTGAAGTATATTTGAAGTAGAGGTAAATATATAGAAAGGGATACACCTCACCGGTTTTTTCATGAAACATATTTTAAAAGATGAAATTCTGAGTGACTTCCTGATATGTGCAATTATATGGGGATCGCTTATAGTTTCCGAGATATTTGATTTTAAAGTATTGGAATTTTGATTATCCTGGAATTAAATTCCAGGATATCATAAGCTGACGTTATTTACAGTATAATCCAAATAGTTAATCCAAACATAATACAGTATACATAGAATTATAGAAAACAGTACATATAAGCGGGAGAGGGGCCCCGCCCCTTCCCCGCACCCTCTCCCTAAAAAAATCCTAACCTAACCTAACTTATTGCATCTTCATATATTGTTGGGCGATATTGAAAAGATGTCTTTAAAAGCCACAACACCTAATTATACGCAGATATTATAATAAGTTAAGTTAAGCCAGGTGATGGATCTTAAGAGAACTTTCCTCAATAATGTCCAAAAATATATAAAGATGCAATAAATTAGATTAGGTTAGGATTTGTTTGGGGAGAAGGTACGGGGGAGGGGCGGAGTCCTCTTATATGTACTGTTTCTTGGTATATTTGAAGTGAATGAAAACTGCTTGTCTACTTCAAATATACCTCAACGTACAATTATAAAACTTTAAAGTCAAATATCTCAGAAACTATAAGCGACCCCCGTATAATTGTATTAGGAAAAATCACTCCGAATTTCATCCTCTATAATATATCTCAAAATGAAAAGATCGGTGTACCCTTTTCTATATATTTAATAAAAAATATTCATAAATATTCGATACTTCGATATTTCGATATTTCGATTTATCGTTGCATCCCTACCCTTGTGTGAGATTCGCGTCGTCGGGTCGGCTCAAGTCGCTATTGTGTCGCGCGACTTGTAGGTGAAGCGATGCGCGCGGCGTAGGCGAGGACGTTTCGAAAGATGCTCACGCGGTCGTGGACAGGCGGCGACTGCCACTGCGTGTGGCGCGAGCGAACGACGAGGCTTGCGTGTGAGACGCGCGTCGCTCTTATCTGTCGCGGAGAGGCTCCTCTTATCGCGCGCGCGGCATCGAAGGAGATCCGCGACATCGGTGATAACATCGCGAGCGAAATCGCGAAGCGTCGCTACGACGAACGGATACCCTCCTGTCACTCGCGCGGTTATTCTTAGACTCTCAGCTCTGCGAAAAGCGCGTCCCGAAAACTGTCACGATTTTTACGAGCCCGGGACGCGACGTCGCGATGTAGAATGAGGAAGCGGCGAGCTCGGACGGCACGTTCGACAGCAGCGAGCTTAGCCGTTCGACCGGCGTGAAGTCAACCGGTTGCGCGACGAATCTCGACGAAGATCTGAACGTACGAATCACTGAAAAAAAAAAACAAAAAACTGAAAAACAGCCGACATGAAAATCATCAAGATTATACGACACGCGACACGACGTCTCCCGACTGATTGTGTGTGCACCCTTAAGCCCGTGTCACATTACGGATTGAAGATCAAGGGATTGCGGATTGAAAATTGAAATTTGACCAATCGGAATAAAGCAAATCAAAAGCGAAGTTCGTTGATTCGTCGAAATCTAATCTTCAATCCGCAATCCTTAATCTTCAATCCGTAATGTGACACGGGCTTTAGGTCGGTTGAATTGATCTATCTCAGCGATTCGAGTCAAATCAGCCCTCGTCGGATTAACCTGTCGACGACGAAAGAGGAACACGGCGTGAGCCGAGAAATTACGTCGCAGAATCGATCCCCGTCGATCGACGACGCAACGTGAGGAGGCGCGGGGGAAAAGCAGCGGGGATCCGGCAGGTCCAAAGTATAAACCTCACGAACCAAGGCGCGCGACGTACGTGCGACACGGCACTCTACTCTCACAAACTCTTGGAAAAAAACATACACGTACAAACACACGTCCGCGCTCCGCGCGACGCGGAGATTCACTGCGCGCTCGCTCCGCTCCGGCAGCGCGCGTGAAGCCGCGCTGGGTGCGCGCGCGCGCGCGCGCCGCGCACGGAAGACCCTATTGCATATCCTCCCGGCTCTATTACACATCGCTGGCTTTTTGGAGCGGCGAAGAAAAATGAGTAATTAAAGCGCGCGGCTCTACCTGTGCGCCCCTGCCACGCCCCTCGCCTCGCACGCCAGCGAGCGTTACGCTTTAGCGGGCATTCTCGAGACGCCGCTCGACCGGCCGCTGGAGGATTACGCGCGCAAGCTCAAAGACGACGCAGCGACTTGAAGGGCCGACTTCCGCTGCGACGCTTTTCGGGTCTTAAGCCCGTGTCACACTACGGATTGAAGATCAAGGATTGCGGATTGAAGATTAGATTTCGACAAATCAACGAACTTCGGTTCTGATTCGCTTTATTCCGATTGGTCAAATTTCAATCTTCAATCCGCAATCCCTTGATCTTCGACCCGTAGTGTGACACGGGTTTAAGGTGAGCGCGCGCCGAAACCGGGACACGCTTCCCACCTATATGGACTGTCCGAATAAAGAATGTAAAGCCAGCGGCACACGGTGCTTGTTTTCGTGCTGGATTGCTTGCTGGATGAAAATACTGCGTTCTGATTGGTACATTTCCGAAGATGGATGGAAGTGCACCAATCAGAACGCAGTATTTTCATCCAGCAAGCAATCCAGCACGAAAACAAGCATCGTGTGCCGCTGGCTTAAGGAAAGAGCATGTTGCGAGACACCAAGAATGGGCGATTTTCATCGATTAATCGAAAGTACCGACAGTTTGTTTTCAATCAATCGATGTTTCCACATGAACCTTATTTTTACTCAATTATTAGTCGACGTTCGATGATCTTTTCTCATTACATCGGCAGCTGATTTTTATTTCCTTTTCTTCTAAATAGAGGATTTTAGTAATATCGTATCTTTCAGATACGGTAAACGAAATTCATGAACGTTAAGTCCGGATCCACAATAGGTATAGTAAGCTTCAGCTAAGAACTAATCACGGTCAATTATTCTTGTAAAAGTACGTTGGGATTGGATTAATTTCTTCTAAGGTTTAAAGTTTGCTACATCCATCGTACAGTCATCTCACATGGAAGTCATACAGTTCGTACAGTTTTCTCACAGGGAAAATACATTAAATGAGATGACGAGTTAAAGGCCCACACTCGCACACTCACGCGGTTAGTGACGAACAATGAGCGATATCCAATGAGAGTTCTGTTTTAAAGAAGAAATGAAAGCTCTTTCTTCGTAAAACAAAACTCTCATTAGATATCGCTAATAACACGTCGCTAGTCGCGTCCAGTGTGCAAGATCCTTTAGGAGAATTTCTAGTAATACCGAGAATATTGCGGACGTCATTCTATCTTTGTTTAACATTTAATAAAAAATAAGGATTGAATAACGCTGGCTACTCATTTGTTGCGAATTTAAGAACGCTTCCAATACGTAAGCAAGGAGAGGCATCCGAGGGATGTTTCCAATGCACCCTTAGTAGTGTTTAATCTGGGGTTAACCAATTTAAATGTTTACTTTGCAAATTTAATCGATTAATCGGTAAATTGATATTTTTTTTTTTTTTAGAAAATAATCGATGTCGTTCCAATTTTTTTTTATTAATCGATATTTTAAACATCGATGTATTTTCGAACATCGCCCATCCCTGTGTGACACTACCGGGAGTATCGATAGTCGAATGCAATCGATGGGTTTTATGACGTATAATTACATTACAAATTGAGGTTACCGGAAGCGAGCAAGGGCGGTATACCTTGAGGTACGTTCTCGACGAGCTCGCTATTAGAATATATTATAATATGTAAATTCTACTTTAATTAGAAATAATTTATAATTACATGCTTTATAAGGTATATCAAAATATGTTATATACATAATGTGTATTTTCCTCAAAATGAGAAAGTTGCAAAATTACAACTTATAGGTTAACTTTATTTTAATCTCATGTACAATGTTATACCGTGCTCTTGACCATGAACACAAATAATCAACAGATATGGTATAACATTATACAATACACGAGATAACAAAATGACCTTACATGTTGGAATTTTAATCAGAATCATTATGCCGTAATAACAAGACGAGTGTGATCGACTCGTCTCGGCTATTCGATCGTCATAAAACTTGCTTCGATTCGCAGATATCGATAAAAAGTTTTTAGTGTATTTTGATCACGTCACCCTCACTACGTATTTTTAGCACATGCTCCTTCCTTACACTTTTTATTCAATGCTACGACATTTTTATGCTGTGACATTTTTATCGTTTTGGCCTTTCAGTACGAGTGTTTAAACTTTCAATGTGTAGAATATGTGTACACACTCAATATATGTATCGCGCACACACACATATACACTCACATATATACACACATATTCTACGTAGAAAGTTTGAATATTCGAATTTAAAAGCATAAACAATAAGAATGTGCAGAGTTGGGTGCCGTCCAGCAACTTCTCGACCAAAAAGACCAGGGACTGACTTCACGTCGAGTCGCAAACGATCCAACATGGCGGCTTCCCGGCTGTCCGGGGGAAAAACCGCGATCGTTTTTTCGTCGACTCGATCGCGGCTCGGTGAGTCTCTGAGTCCGTATATTCTTGAAAAATTATCGCACACGATATTTCATGAATGTCGCTAGATATCACGATTCTCAGCCAATTAAATTGTCCCGATCGATGAAATATCGTATACGATATTTTTTACGGATTTTCGAGAATAAGGGCTGCTGCTCTTATTCTCGAAAATCCGTACGAAAATACAACGGCAGTGCCGATACGAGAAGTACGAGAAGTGGGTGCTATTGGATCACGCGGCGGCGGCGACAGGAATGATAAGCCTTTAAATCGCTATGATGAGCATTCGCGCGCTCGACGCGCTTTTCTCAGCGTCCGCTTTGACGCGTCATTTCGCCTCGCCGTTCATCGGAGAGCGCACGCCTCAACGAGCTCTACGCTCCGTTCCTGTGTATACGCAAACGATGTTCGCACGTCCCTGATACTACAATCTGCATACTTGGTCAATTATACAAATCGCTCTCCGTATATTATACGCGCGGATCCCGTCCCCCTCCCCCTGCCCTCCCGAGAGCCCACTCACGTGGTCCCACGTAAGCCTGCGCTTGTCAAATCGCGAGATTGCCGAGGCTGTCACTTTTCTCATGTCGGATTTACGTTTCGTCTCTTATGAAAGAAACATGTTTCTAATTTAGTCCTCCTACTCGTCCTTTGATCGCTCGCTGGAAAATCGCGACGGCGCGGTCCGCATGAGAGACGACGAACACGCGACACGGCAGCATGAAACGTGAGATGTCGTTTTGAGAAGGAGATGCACATACACACACACACACACACAGAGAGAGAGAGAGAGAGAGAGAGAGAGAGAGAGAGAGAGAGAGAGAGAGAGAGAGAGAGCAGGAGGGAAAATAAGTCGGAGCTGGGCGAAGCGAAGAACGACGAAGAAGAACGCAGGCGTGATAACATTTACGTTGCACGCAGGCAGTCGCCGCGAATGCAGGTTACTTTTACAGGGTCTTTTCAGGTACTTGACGCGCGCGGGTTACGCGTAGACGCCCTTTCGCCTCGCGTTCGATGCATCAGAGTCGCGCATGCTGCAAGCCGCTGCGCCAGCAACGGAAGCGAACGATATTACGGCAGCGATATTTGCGAAGCTGAGATTGATGAAAGCCAAAGAGAGTAGTCTCTCTCTCTCTCTCTCTCTCTCTCTCTCTCTCTCTCTCTACCGGCCGAAGAGCCGGTGTCTCTCCATCCGCCGTGGCAAGGCGGATCGCGCGTCGGCGGCCGCGAGATGCGAGGGCGGACGCGAGACGCGATGCGACGTGAAGAACGTGCGCGAGTCAGGTTGAAAAATCGACGGCAGGCACGACGACGAGGCAGTCGAGGACGCCTCTCGTCGCGCGTCGTGAAGTACCGCGCTGCGGGCGCATTAGGTCGCCGCGTCGCGGCGTCCCGACGCAGCCTCCTCCGGCTGTTCCGCGATACCGCTGCAGCATCAGTATCGCGAGGACGCACTTAGGGATGTCCTGGCGCGACGGCATCTCGTCGGCTGGACGTGCTGGCTCCTCTCGCCGCGTGGAGGGTGTGCGACGAAGCGCTGGCCGCTGGCCGCTCGCCGCTCGAGGATGCCTGCTGCTGGCATGGAGGAGCTTCCCTCTTCCTCCGGGCTTGCCCCGCTGCACGACGGGACGTCCCGGGGAGAGGAGACACGGCGAGGCCCACTCCGACGGATAACGTAAACACTGCCGCGAGTAGTTCGCCACCGATCGAGCCGATCGAACGGACTACGCGGATACCGCGCGCGCCGTTTCTTCCGGAAACGTCAGCGTCCTCTTCCCTCCACCGCCG